TCTATCTATCTATCTATCTATCTATCTATCTATCTATCTATCTATCTGCCTACCTATTGTCTCCCTCTCCCCCCCCCTCTTAAATTTAGAGACTGACCATCTCACTCAGAGGGACCTTGTTTTGTTGGAAAAATGTACTTTAAAAAAATTGAATGGAACATTGCAAACTGAAGAAGTTCAGAGGGAAAAAAGGAAAAATAACATTGACGATACGGTAGAAAAATAGTGGATCTTTTCAACATTCAAAATTTTAATTGCAGACACAGAAGCAATCCATCTATCCATCATTTTACAATGATGGATGTTTCCCCCTCCCTTCCTTTTTTGAATATGTCACTAATGGGTTATTTCTTTTTTCCCTATATTCTATATTCTATATATTCTATATTCTTTGCATTCAGCAAGGAAAAAAAAAATCCCTTCCTGTCCTTTAAGGTCCACCTGCCTGTTTTAGAAAGCAGTCAACCTGTCAGATACTTCTACATACCTCATCTCTCTGGAATGTATTACCAAGTGAACTCTATCAAGTCAATGTTTAAAGTCCTTCAAAAAATGGATTTTTCATAGCCCTCATGCCAGAGTAAGTATGCTTTATGGAGACTTTGTTTATGACCGAAACCAATTTTTAAACATTACACTTGTAGATGGAGGGGCGATTGATATTTTGAGCAGTTTATTTTTACGCTGCTTTAACTTGAGAGAACAATACCTATTCATAGATTTAAAAAAAAACATCATAGGTGGAGCTCAACTCGTGGCAACTACCCAGCACAGGTAGTCAAAACACAGATGAGCCAGATTTATCTTGCTAAGTGAGACAATTAAGAGAATTTTGCCTCATTTTACAACCTTTCTTAACATAGTTGTTAACCAATGGGTGGAAACTAATCAAGGTGAGAATCAACTTAGAACTAAGGAGAAATTTCCTGACAGTTAGAGCAATTAATCAGGGGAACAACTTGCCTCCGGAAGTTGTAAATGCTCCAACACTGGAAGTTTTTAAGAAGAGATTGGACAGTCATTTGTGTGAAGTGGTGTAGAGTTTCCTGCCTAAGAAGGGGGCTGGACTAGAAAAGGGGTCGCCCACCTTTTGGACCTCAGGGACCACCAAACCCATAATTTTAAATCCCGCGGACCAGAGACCCTGGGAAAATCCCCCCAAAAAGTCTGCAGGAAAATTCCCAACCCCGTTTTCCGATCGTTTGTTCTTTATTTGGGATCGCAGGATACCGTCTCCAGCTCTGTTCTCAGGGGGAGAGAGAGACTTTTGGCTTCATGCAAGGAAAGCAGCAGAAGCTGCAGAAGTCTTTCTCTCTCTCTCTCCCAAATTCCGCCAGAAATGAGACTTTGCCACGCAGCCTCTTGGAGCAGGAGGCCTTGCAGGGTCCCAAAGACTCATTTCTGGTGGAGTTTGGGGGAGAGAAAGAAAGATCTTTGGTGCTTTCCTTGTGTGCAGCCAAAAGCAGAAGAAGAAAGAAGTGGAAAGAAGCAGCTCAGTGGCCAGGCCAGGCGCGTGGGGCGAGTGGGGCAAGTTCCCCATTCCACCTTTCTCCCCTCCCCTCACTACCTCATGTTGTTTGCAATGCAAGTGACACAAGCTTTGTGTTCCTGTGGGCCATGTGGGTGGCACAGCCTTCTGTTCCCGCGCAGCCTGGATTAATTGCTTTGGGGGTGACATTTCTCTGTGGACCACCAACATTTTCTCACGGATCACCAGTGGTCCCCAGCCCACAGGTTAGTGACCACTGTTCTAGAAGACCTCCAAGGTCCCTTCCAACTCTGTTATTCTATTCTATTTAAAGTAAATCACTATTAAGTTAGCCAAAAGATTATTAAGTGAATCTGGCTTCCCCACGATGGGCTTTGCTTGACAGAAGGTAGCAAAAAGGGATTGCGTGATCCCAGGGACGTTGCTATCATCATTAATACGAGTCAGTTGCCAAGAGTCTGAATTTTGATCATGGCGTTGCCGCAATGGTCGTAAGTGTGGAAAATGGTCATAAGTCACATTTTTCAGTGTCGTTGTAACTTGGAACAGTCACTAAATGAACTAAGTCAAGGACAAAATTCCATGCAGTTTCTCTGGGGTTTGAGGTGATGTGTGTACTCTTATTATTATTGTTATTGGTTAATCTTTGGTGAGATTCACAGCCTTTGGGGCTGGTTGGTAGGTCAACAGCTCGAGTCCTAACCAATGACCTAGGAACTGTTCAGGTAGCGTCGGAGGATATAAGCTGTTCCAAGTAGGGTGGTTTTTTTGTAGAATCAAGGTATTCAAGTCTGATAAATTCAGAATTTCCAAATAGCGAAGTAGCCCTTTAGGTATTGCTCCAAGGGCTCCAATTAGAATTGGGATAACACATGATTTCTTTTTCCAAAGTTGCTCAACTTCAATTTGTAAGTCCCGATACTTGGTGATTTTTTCTTGTTGCGTGTCTACAATTCGTGCATCACCAGGTTTTGCAATGTCAATGAACCAACCCTTTTTCTTTTCAACTATTGTTATTTCAGGTGTGTTGTGGGCCAAATGCCTGTCCGTCTGAATTCTGAAGTCCCACAAGATCTTGACTTTTTCATTCTCCAGAACCTTCTCAACATGATGCTCCCAGTAGTTGTTACTATACTCAAATCCAAACTTTTGGCACAGTGAATGATTTTAACAACTCGGTTATGGCGTTCTAAGTAGTCAGTTTGTGAAATTTTGCTGCATCCACTGATTAAATGTTCAACTGTTTCATCTTTCTCATTACAGAGGCATTATTCTTATTCTTATCCTTACTATTGCCAAGAAAATGGCATGTTACCAGGACACGAGCTGGTCTTAAAAAAAAGGTTTTAACTTCTTTTCAGCAATCTCTCTTCCTGTCATATCCCTGCTCCCTTGGCGCTAATTATTCTTGTTTCAGCTCCAATCTCATTTCCTCAAGTGTAAAATAGGAATAATTACTTTCAGGGGAAGGCTAGGCCCAAAGACTGTTAATCCATTTTTACAACAAGGTCTGGTTCTCCCATCACACTAAGTTTCGGTGATCCTGATGATGGCCAGTTTTGTTACTGTGCTTGATGGTTAGATGGTTAACCTCCTTAGATATCTACTCTAATTGTGATTCTGTGGCACCATACTGATTTTATCATGGCTTCGCCTTAATTTAATATTTTATCTTAGGTGTTAGATAGAATCAAGACCATGGAAAGTGTTGATACTGCTTTATAAGGCCTTGGTAAAGCCACACTTGGAATATTTGCATTCAGTTTTGGTCACCATGATGTAAAAAGAAGATGTTGGGACTCTAGAAAGAGTGCAGAGAAGAGCAACGAAGAGGATTAGGGGACTGGTGGCAGGACAAGAAGCAATGGATGGAAAATAATCAAGGAGAGAAGCAACCTAGATCTAAGGAGAAATGTCCTGACAGTGAGAACAATTAACCAGTGGAACATTTTGCCTCCAGAAGTTGTGAATTCTCCAACACTGGATTTTTAAAGAAAAGATTGGACAACCATTTGTCTGAAATAGGGTTTCCTGCCTAAGCAGGGGGTTGGATTAGAAGACCTCCAAGGTCCCTTCAAACTCTGTTATTCTATTCCATTCCATTCCATTCTATTCTATTCTATATTTTATTTTCTATTCTATTCTCTCTTCTCTTCTCTTCTCTTCTCTTCTCTTCTCTTCTCTTCTCTTCTCTCTTCTCTTCCTTATTCTATTCTATTTCTATTTCTATTATTTCTATTTCTATTTCTATTTCTATTTCTATTTTTATTTCTATTTCATCCCATCCCATCCTACTTTCTATTCTATTCTATTCTATTCTATTCTATTCTATTCTATTCTATT